CTCAGATCTTGTGCTCTCACCAGCTTCTCACATCATGAGCCAAAGAATCTCTGACACTTTCATTATCTTCAGAGGCATTAAGCCATCATCACATTATTCCTGTCCATTTGCTGCTGAAGCAAAAACTCTGAGAGCTCATCTACAGACATTGCAATGGGGCATAAATTAATAGTATACACTGGCTGATACCGCGTGGTGCAGATACACAACTCTGCAAACCAGAAATCCAGCCTTATTATCACTTCATTCCCAAAAGGAGTCAATATTGGAGTCTGAAATTAATCGGGAAAAATGCGAATTGTTGGAAATCTTCCAGCAGTCGTGTAATGGAGAGTCCCTCTCAAAGGAATCTCCACAGGGAAATCTCCACAGGGAAATGAATGCAATTAAGGACCAAGGTAATAAACTGCCAAGAAATCTTAACTAGCTAGAGAAGCCTTATTTAAACCCTGAGTTCTCCCAGTGAGGTGAACAGGGAGTGTCATCTGTCCCTGAGCTGCTGCAGAAAAGTACAAAAGTGAATATTCTACATAAACATCTCTGTATTTTCTGTTGCCTCTCTGCAAACACCCTCCTAACTTACTAAAAATAAATTAATAACATTTATAGAGGTCTCCTGTGCAGTTCTGGTTAGCACCCTGTCTATCGTTCAAAGAAGTCGAAATTATTAGAGGCAAAGTGGCAAATGTGTTCTCCCTTTCCCAGTGCTAAACAGGGCTCTGAATTGCTCCCTTTCCTACTGTAGCAGTAATTAAAATTAAGAAACTAGCTCAGATACCAGTGGACAGCCACAGGTCCCAGGATGCCCTACAACATTTTGCTAATGAGCAGCAGCCTGAAGCTCTTTATGAAAGCAGGTCATCCCTTGAAAGGGGGGCAGAGCATGTGTTGTAATAAGAGACTTTTTTATGGCTCACAGACCGAAAATATAAATATCAGCTTTATCAGCCACTCGGTGGAGTTTGAGCTGGCAAAAGCCTTTTCCCTAATGCCCCAGAGTGCCACAATAAACAAAGCAGGGCAGTGGTGAGTGTTGCCTGGGTCTGTCCAGCAGTCAGGCAGCTGAAGGAGCAGAGAGAGCCCCAGGAACCAAAATGGTCCTGAGGAGACAAACGTGTGCCAAGAAATCCCACTGGCTTTGTTTATTTGCTGGAATGTCTTCCATCGGGTCACCATGACTTTGGACTTCCACAGCTGCAGGGATCATCCTGCCTGGAGTGGATGATTTCACAGAAAAGAGAGAGCCCAGAAGAGGAAAAAAAAAAAGGGTGTTTGGCTGTTCCAAGGGAACAGACCAGAAGGAGCAGCTTTCCACCCCAGAGAGTAATGAGAGAAATTCAAACACACTTGGAGGATGCAGCTGGATACAATTGTTTAAGAACCACAGAGAAGGAATTCCAGCCTCCATTTCCCCCCCTGCCCTTTCCCCATTATCTACATCTCCTCTTGTTTTACAACTGTACCACTCCTCTAATGCCTTATGTCTGTGCTGTATCGTCTGGCCCTGTGTTGTCTGCAGTTTGAGAAGCTTTAAAACTGCCTGATTGCACAGTTGTAGCTGAGATCCCGGGTAGCAGGCAGCACTTGGGAACAAGCTAAACAAAAGGTGCTATCCATTTGTCTTTATGATTTTGTAGGGGGGAAAAAATAATTTAAAAGTTTTCCCAAACAGTCCAGAATATCAGTTCTCCGAAGAGAATGACGTAAAGCTTGTTTATCCCTTAAAAAAAAAAAAAAAAATCAGTGTGTGCTTTTACATAGAGGGAGATACTTTGCTTCTGATGGTGAAGAGCAGCAGCATAAACAGGCAGGATGGCAAGGGCTGGGGCTGGAGCAGAGAGGGAGGCTCAGCTCTGATCCTGTGGGAGAACCTGCCCGAGGAGGGAGCTGTGTTTGACAGGAACAAGAGAGGGAGTTCTTTGAAAAGCAAAAGCAAAAGCCAAGGAGCTGCGTGTGTGTGCCTGGAAGCGGTGGGAGAAGTGCCAGGTAGAGACTAAAGACAATAGCAGGAATTGAGGGGAGGAGCTGCAAACAGGGGCACGGGAGACACAGCAGCTTTTGGAGAAGACAATGCTCTGGAATCTGGGTGACTGCATGAAGGGCTGGGATGTGACAGCCAGGACCCCGCAGAGGGGGACACACAAAAATAGATGGGCTGGGGGAACAGAAATAGAATTGAGGGCTTGGATGAAAGAGGAGCTCAAAGTGCACAGTTGAGGAATTCAGAGAAGGTTTTGCCAGCCCAACAGATAATAAATCTGAGGCTGACTGAAAGAAAATCTTTCTGCATATTTAAAAGTCACAAGAAGTTTATTGTCAAATTAACCATGGAATTGTATTCTGAAGCAGGAGTTCCTAAGGCTTCTGCTCAGTAAAGCCTCTCAACCATCTGAATTCCTTGTGGGTCAACATCTGAATTGAAAACATACTTGATCTGAAAATTAAATTTTTTCCTAGATTATTTGCCACTACCTCATGGACCAGCAGTCTGAGAATTATGCCATTTTTAGAGACTCCAGAGGGCACAAGACTGAAGGAAGAGGTGGCAGTAAGTGTGGGATAAGGAGAGTTGGCTGCGTCCTGCCAGGGGAAAGGAGTAAGATCTGGGAGTAAAAACATGGAGAAGAGGAGATGAAAGCAGGGCAGTGGGATATTTTGATTTGAGAGACTGAACTGGTTGGCCAAAAATGCAGTCAAAAGACAAGGAAAATTGGGTCTAAATCAGACAGGTAGGAACAGCTCAAAATAAGGGGAGGGTCTCTCCAGAGGCTGCAGGGATCTGAATCTCCATAGTGATGCCAACAAACAAGAAATTAGATACAAACCTCCGTATTCAGTAATGAAACATGCTCAGTCTGATTATTCACTTGGTCACGTTCCTCCAGTGTTTTTATATTTTACCAAATATAAGTGTAGCCAAGCAGGTTTTAGGAAAGTACCCTCAGCAAATCCAAGCAAATTCCAAATTTTCCTCCTAAAATCTCAGAGCATTTGGATGCCTGTGGCAGTGTTATAGTGAGAACAGTGTGCTGGGAATAACAGCCCTGAGAGGGCACTGGCTGGCAGACTTGGTACCTCTCTGGTGTGAGCTGAGTGTCTGGCATCTGTTTTCTCCTTCCCTTCCCGTGTTTTTACTGAAATTCCCCTTAGAGTCCCTACAGAAAACGAGGGAGAGCCCACCACAGACAAATAACACATCATTATACCACAGAAAATATTCATTATGAACCAAGAAATCTGCCCTGGGGTGGTTATGAAATAATGAGTATGCACAAAATTAATTGCTGTTAGATGTATAAATTATTCCAGATCAAAGGGGGTGTGAAAGGCCACACTGCTGCTGATTTTTACTGAATTTCTGACTGGTGTGCAGGACACATAACACTGATGAGCACAACACCACCAGCAGCATTGCTGTAGCTGTAATTATCTACTGTTACCAGCCAGGGAAAGTCTGCAGGGAGCAAGAATAGCTTTTCTTTTTAGAATAATGGGCATATTTTAGGGAAAAAAAGTCTATACAAACCCACAGACACCTGGGGTTTTACATATATGGGTCTATTATGGGTGTAAATTTGTGATGTTCAGATAAGACATTGGGAACTGGGGACATGCGAGTCTGAACTTTTCCTTTCTTGCTGCCTTTTGAAGGTGCTCATGAAAATGAGTCACACGTAGAAGAAACAACATGAATTCTGGACAGGAACCCAAAAATCAGTTCACTAAAGGATAAACATATGTACAAAGATGAATTATTCTTCACACAATTTTCAGAAGTACAAATGGTTGGAGCTGCAACCCCTGGGACTGATGTTATTCTGTCAGGAACAAACTGAAGACCTCTGTCATGTGCAGCCATAAATTCATGGAAGCACCAATTTCCTAGATACAATGGAAACCCCACCAGAACATCCTGGCTAGACAACACAAGGACATTTTTTCTGACTGGATTTAAAATTTCTCTTGTCTGTGTTCATAAATCAAACTGAAAAGCCAGACAAAGAACACGACTGCTGATGTGAGGAGCCTGTGCCACTGCTGGCACCACCAAAAGACTCTGTGTGGATTAAATTAATCAGGTTACTCTAAAACACAAAAGAAATCCTGACCAATTTGGGGAGACAAATCTCATTGAGGGAGAAACATGGCTCCATGCAAGAAAATATATTATCCAAATGCATAACAAGACCAAGAATTCAGGTTGATGTTCAGCAGTGCAGCTGCAGAGCTATGCTGGCTGTTCAGTGCGAGTGCCAGAGGAGTTCTAGTTCCAAATAAATCAATATAATATAGGCTTTGCCTGCAAAAGAAAGTGGCAGTGGTTTCACTAGGATTGTTTCTTTAAACCAATTTCATTAGACGTGAAGCAAATCCACATGTGGAGACAGTTAAATTGATTTACAACTGGCTTGTGTTGATCTAGCTTAATTCAAAGGGTGGAATTTTATGTGGCAGCTATACGTTGATTTAAGTGCATCTACACAAGACTGCAATTCAATTCAATTTGAACAGACTTAAAATAAGACTTCAGTTGAGCCACTTTTGCAACACTTTAAATAGCAGGTTGGGCTGGACTAAGTAAACATACACTGAGGTAGATGACAGCAACTTTCCAAAGAGTAGGAGATTCAAATCAATCCAAGTTAATTTTATGGAACAGAGCTCAGGCTGCCTATTTGTACAAAACTACCAAGAATCAACTAAGATGCTGACTTGAAAATTTTCTTTTTTGACCCATGATCATTGCATTCTAAAACTGGCCCTACTTTAAAGGGATTTAACCAATTTAAACTTCTATCAATCCTCTCTTTTTTGCCATTATTTACTTAAATTTTACATGTAAGTTCAACATTCTCCCGTTGCCACAAGTTATGGAAAATATATATTAAGTATTCCAGCAGCCTTGAAGGACACTTAAAACCCACAAGTTTTTTATCATCAGGATGTTTTCCTACAGTGCACAGAAGAAATAAATGAGAGTTTGCTAAGATACTAAATACCTTTTCTTGTCAGTATGTTCAAGTCATGCTCCAGAGCCAGTTTTTCCGTGGCATTCCCAGTGGAGGAGGGGAGCAGATCACTGATTCCCATCTGCTCCCAGTTCTGCAGTCAGGTGGTGAATCCTCATTTTATTTCAGATCTGAACAGAAGGGGAACAAAATACCAAAGGGAAAAAGTGAGTTCTCCAATATCCTTTTTGATAAGCTGGGTTTTGATACATTTTTACTTGAAGGGTTTTTTTGCAATGCCTTTGACAGATGCCAAAAAGAAATAAAGTGAACAACACTCGGGATAAATATCAGTACAAATGAGATTCATTTATTTGGTGGAAGCAGAACTGTGGTGGTAGGGATTAACCTGTTTATTAGCTTCAATAATAGAACATTTTTGGCCATGCCCCTGCAACAACTAATGGGGAAAACACCACCAATCTACAGTCATTTTATGGGTGAAAACACTTCATTTTGATGGTGTTCTTCACAGGCCCATTTGTGACATCAGACATGAAGGGACTTTACCTGGGAGTCAGGAATGTTAATGTTCTTGGGTAAAACTCAGTTGGGTTCCTTTTGCTGGGGATTTTTGTGTGCCATATCATCTGATTTTTCTTTCTTTCTTTGCCTTTTCGTTGTTGTCAAATAACAGCAACTAATGGTACATCAGAAGGCAAAATATTTTTATAGCCTCAGAGATAACTCATCTCTCATAGTCAGGACTAAATGATACGTGGAAAGGGACTGGCCTTTGAGGCAAAGCAATTTCCACTGCTAAAAGTGGAATTTTAACAAGATGCTCTTGTGAGGCCCCTTCCAGCATGTTTCTGGAAAAGGCTCCTCGTGGCATTCCCAGTCCCCCCAGCAAAAACCACTTCTGCACTAAAGAGGCTGAGGCAGAACAGGTTTTAGCTGCCAGCCAAGGCACACTGCTAGTGCTGCCCCTTCATGGATCTTGGATGACCCCAGGGCTGTTCCAGACTCCACATCCACACAGAAAAAGAACAATGTATTTACTGTCTGCTCAGGGGAAAAGAAATCTGTAATTACTATGTGGGCAGTAAGAAGATGCACAAAGTCTGTCTAATACAGATAAGAAATTAAAGGCTTGCTGGGAAGTGTTATACTGAACTTTAAAAAACACTCAGAGAAAAAAAGAGAGGAAGGACAGCAGAACTAACAGAGTATGCTGCATTTCTGTCAGTCTTCTGTGGTGTCCAGTGGTGTAAGTATATCTAAAAAAATAAAATCAAATGTAAATCCTGATCCCACTGAAGTCAATGGTAAAACTCCCATTAACTCAAACAAAACCAGGATTATTTCCACAGCAGCCTTGTGTGCTTGTCACAGTATACTAGCCAGTATTATACTCTGATATAATCATCATTAAAACATGACTGACCCCAGAGGTTTTTCACTGTTGCCCTTTTTACTCTCATTCTGGTTTCCAGAGATGTGGTTCCCCTTCCCACACATAATCATTTTCAGACTGAGGCAGTACAGATTTGCTTGAAAATCAAAAGGCACAAAAAAATTTCTACCTTAATATTATAGAATGTTGTTCAGATAATAGTTTCAAGATGCAGCTGAATAGAAACACAGTAAAATCAAAAAGGGGCAAGTTTGGAGTGACCATTTCTACCTGTAGCCTACAAACTGCTATAGCAACATAAACTATTCCTAACAACCTAGAAAAGACTAAGCATAAATTCACCCTGCACTGACCATGGAAGCTTTTGAGAATCCAAAAATTCAAAGAAGTTGAAAAGTCAAATATGTTGAAACAATGACATTGCTGAACTTGCTAACTTGTGGACTTAGAAAATGAGGATTATCAATGTTTATGCAAAATAATTTAAAAAATTAGTAGCAAACCATTTTAACAAGGGGGGGTTAGGATTTGGATGCAAACCTGTTCATTCAAGGTACCTTCCTCAGGCTGAAATCCAGGTATGATTGGTAGACTGGGAACCTATGTGAGGATGGATTCTATGGGGTTACTAAGATTTTAGGCTGGTTCCCTAAGGAAAAGAAACTTCTTTACTCGTAGTTTTTGCATGCTTGCTTCTTTTGTCTTTCCACCAGCAGCTTCTGAGCAGCCCAAGTTCAGCCAAACTTGACCAATGCTTAAATTCCTACAGATTCCTACAAATTCCTACAAAAACAGTCAGGTGAAAAAGAGCAGGGCAAGGGGGAGAAGCTGCAGGTTTACTTTGAGTTTTGCTTTGCTCGACACCAAAGAATCCACACAGAAAGCAAACCCACTAAGTGCCGTTGTCTTCACTCAGCCCTCAGAGTCACTGCAGGACACTAACCCACAAAAATGCAGCTTTTATTACCTCTGATTTGTTCTGAGAACAGATGTAACAATAGATGTATCACTGATTAGGAGTTTTTGCTGCTGTCTCAAGGGTGTTCAGGGCTTTAACCTCCCAGGCAGAGGGGAAGATCAACAGTGCCCACGCTCCATTAGGAGCAGATGATGCAGCCCAGAGCTCCTGAGCTGCAATCAGGCTGGGCTGACAGAGCACACAGTCCTGAGTTTGTAACGATTTCAGGACTTGTTGATTTACCCAAAAGGTTGAAAGTTCCCTGACAGCCTTGGTTTTGATTAGGATGCCAGGCTGAAAAAAATCTGTGGTAATTTATTGGAAAACCTCGGGCTCAATTCCTGCTGCAGTGACTGGATAGGTGCTCACCCTGCTTCAGCCTCATGTGATGTCAATGCTTATGTTCACTTATTACAACAACACTTTAAAATCATTAAAGCCAATCAGTTCATCTCAAGTAGGAATGACCAATTTAAACAACTGAAGAGACTGGATGTTAACCGGAAAAAACTGGTTTTACTGTACAGATAAATTTTATACTCGAAATAATTTTTAAGCAACTGGAACTAAATTGCAAAACTGTTATTTTCATTAGGTGAGCTTAATTAGACACCAGGAGCTGAGGAAGTGAGCTGAGTTTTCTGAGCAGTTCCCTGCTGCACTGCACAGCATCTGCTGGACCAGAAGCATCATGTGGCAGCAGAAGTGGCTGAGCCGATGCCAGGGCCCAAAAAATGTTGCTTAGCAACTTCCCGGGGATGACTCTGGCAATTAACTCTCTTGTGTGTCGGGTGTGAGCTGCTGCTTCACTCAGAACAGGAAAAGACAGAGCAAACAGCCCTCCAGAAGAGCCCAGTAAAGCTGCATGTGCCCATCTGCCACGGGACTGCAGCCAAAGAGCTGGGAAAGAAGCCCTTGTGCAAGAGCTGTTTCTTAACAAGCTCATTTTTTGGACACCCTCGTTCTTTCCATGCAAGTACAGTATACTTTTGAAAGGGATTAATCAGTACCAAAATGTGCACACCTGTTGCAGAACAAGAGCATCTGCACAGGGCACTGCTTCAAACATGGCCTTTTCAGCTTGCAGTCACAGCTGAGTCTGAAATGACTTTCAACAGTGAAAAGCCTCCATTTAACCTGAGCTATTGACCCATCCACAAAACCATTTTGTTTTGCCAACTACGTATATTTTCACCCTTTGTTTGAAACCACATTAAGCAGTGCCTTAGTCTGAGTCAAGGTGTCTCAAGATATTGAGAACAAATGAACCATGAGTCAGTCTTCTCATCTTCAAGGTGGTACCAGGTTGCTCCAGAGCTGGGCCGTAATTACAGTCCTCTCTCCAGCTCTCCCCCTGTTGCTTCTTAGGGAAAACCACCCGTGTCCCAGCCTGTGCCCAGATTATTCTTTAAGGTCTCAGCTCTGCAGAGAGCTCAGAGTAGCTTTGCCCTTCCTCAGGTGGTGGCAAAAGGCAGTCAGAGGTGAGCCCTGCTCTGGAAGAGCTGAGCAGTGACATTCCCTGTCTGGTGGCTGAGAGGAAGAGGAGGGGCAGGGACTGAGCTCTGCTCTGGGGGGACCAGGGACAGCACCCAGGGAATGGCTGGAGCTGTGTCAGGGCAGGGTCAGGTTGGATCTCAGGCAAAGGTTCTTCCCCCAGAGGGTGGTTGGGCACTGCCCAGGCTCCCCAGGGCAGTGGGCACAGCCCCAAGGCTGCCAGAGCTCCAGGAGGGTTTGGATGATCCTCTGGGGCACAGGGTGTGATTCCTGGGAACTGTCCTGTGCAGGGCTGAGGGTTGGACTGGATGAGCCCTTCCAACTGAGCACATTCTCTGATTCTGTGATCATTCTTACCACAGCTCTTGACCCACACATTTATTTTGTCCTGGGACACGGGAGGTGGAAGCAATGATAGAGGTGTTTGGGTGCATCTCATTGATTTACCTCAAGCTTTCATGTAAACACATTGGACTGAATTATTTAGGAATTGCTCCCTTTTCCCCTACCATGACAAAACAATGCCCCAAAAACAAGGCCCTTAAAAAAGGCCCCAAAACAGCAGCAGATCTTTTATGGGGGGGGGGGGGAAGCATTTCCTAGGTACTTGAAATATGGATCTTTAAGAATGCTAAAAGCCAACATTTTGCATGAAATTGCAGGGAAGGAAAACCTGAAAGTAAATTTACATTTTTTTGTAGTTAAAAAAAAAAAAATCCCTGAAGGACAACCTCTTTTCCTTCAGTGATTATGACAAGTTACAGTTCCCTTTCAATCAGGACGCAACAGGTTTAATATCATTTACGTAAAAACTGTGGAAAGAATTTGATAATGCACCTCAGAAAAACCAACCAGCTTGTTTTGTGGCAGTCAAAAATAGCTACAGCCTTTTCTGCAATTCAAAATTCAATCATTTAAAACATTACAGAGCTCTTGTCTTCAGACTTCCCAATCAGCTCTTGCACAGGAGCGAAGCCTCATTATTGCAACCACTACTTTTGTCTGTGGAGTCAAGTCATTCAAAAAAACGATTTCACGGTGGAAAAACTGCCCTAATGACAACGAACGTAATTCTGAAAATTATTTTGTTGCATGAAGGACTTTTACATAATTTACACTAACTGATTTTTAACATGCCAGTGATTTTTGATGTACCAGCCACAGAAAACACGCAGCAAATGAAAATGCTCTATGAAGATTGTGCATTTACATAGGGAGTTTACATTTGACTGGGAGTTAAATATGTATAACCACTACTGTACTGGTTATTTCCTTGGCAAACATCTTTGATTTTTTCTTTTTCCCTCACCATCTTTGACAGT